TGAAGTGAGGTGAGGTCACGTCGCTTTAATCTGTCGTTTCCACACCTGGTCATGACTCATTGGTATTTCTGGGTTAACCCCACCCCCTGACTGTTGTTGCTGCAGCAGAGTGGACTAGTGAGTTAGTCAGTCAGGAACAGTGCTGCTGTGTGGAGCTACTCTCTTCTGCTGCTCGTGAAAATGCCAAAAGTACAAAGAAACCAAAATGAAGAGCTGAGATCATATGTAAAGGAATTTGATACATTTACTACTGATGGAAGTGTACTGTTTTGTAAATATTGTGAAGCACCAGGGACAGCGAGCAAGAAATTTCAAGTCCAACAACACCTTAAAACAAGCAAGCACATCCAACTCGAAGCTGTTAAGTCCAATAGTGCACAAAAGGAGCAACAACTACTTCTTGCATGTTCCAGTAAGTCAGGGCCTGATCGTTCCCAGTTCAACGCAGATTTGTGCAAGGCATTTGTTTCAACGGATATTCCATTGCATAAACTGAATAACAAGTGCCTAAAGTCATTCCTGGAACAGTATACTGGAAAAAAAGGTGCCTGACGAATCAACATTACGTAAGAACTATGTTTCACAATTGTTCAAGGACACGATGGAAATCATAAGGAGAAAGGCTTGTGGAAAGAAAATATGGGTGTCACTCGATGAAACCACTGATGTTGCGCAACGGTGTATTGTGAATCTTATTTTTGGTGTGTTGGGAGATGAAACAGAGCGAGGCAAATACTACCTAGTGAATGTTGGTGTACTATCTAAAGTCAACCACTCCACTGTTGCTGGTTTCTTCAACGATTCTCTGCAATTGTTGTGGCCAACGAAGTTAGAGTATGAAAATGTTCTTTTGGTGTGCACTGATGCTGCACCTTACATGTGCAAAGCAATGAATGGACTGCAAGTATTGTATCCAAAAATGATCCATGTGACCTGTGTGGCCCATGGTCTGCATCGTGTAGCAGAACTGGTTAGGTCAAAATACCCAGATGTAAATCAACTGATAGCCAACGTCAAGAAAATCTTTCTCAAGGCACCTTCTCGAACTGCGAGATTTTCAGAAATCGCTCCAAGTGCACCACTTCCTCCTTCACCTGTGGTGACAAGATGGGGAAGCTGGATCGATGCTGCAACGTACTATGGGTAAAACTTCGACGTCATTGAAGCTGTTATTGCGACATTCGACCCTGAGGAGGCTCAGAGCATTCAGGAAAGCAAGATCTTACTTGAAACTGAAGGAATAAAGGAAAGCTTGCTCTTCATTGCAACGAATTTTGCGTGCATCTCATCAACAATTACTAGACTTGAAGAAAGGGGACTACTGCTGTCCTCGGCAATTTCGTTGGTTAATGGTGTTCTTGATGAACTGAAAAGTTTGCAGTCTGATGCTTACTATGGTAAACTGAGTAACGTGTTGTACAAAAACAAGGGATTTGAAAAGCTGAAAAAAGTCAGTCAGATAATGTCTAATGGTGCTATTATTGACGAGACAGTACAGCCACTCACTATGTCAGACCTCCTATGTATGAAACATGCACCAATCGTCTCGTGTGATGTAGAAATGGTGTTCTCAGAATATAAAGCTATGCTGACAGACAACAGGCGGGGTTTTAACTTTGAGAACTTACGCCACCATGTCATCATCAAATGCAACCACAATCTGTAATGTCTGAAAATATGTCAGTCTTTAATGTAAATACATGTTCATATATATTTTTTGAAGCACTTTCACATATATGTTAAATACATTGTGTATATTGCTTAATAAACATTAACATTAGTTTATATTAACTATTTTGTTTCCGTATAACCTGCATTCTTGGCTTTATAAGTGACATTTTTAGTGCATATTTCATGGTTTTTTAGTGCATAACTATCCGGGCCCTAGTGATTATGCTGGAGCTGCCATTGCTACTGCCACCTTAACTGACTATGGCATTATCACAAAGGATGACAAGAGTCAGGTTATTGGACCACATAAGCTGCGGGATGCGAGACAAAAATACCGATTTAAGAGGCAAGAAATTGAGATGGCTAGTTTAGATAATTTGACGTCACTCTATTTTGATGGTAAGAAGACCGCCACTCGTGTGATGATAAAGACTGAGAAGACCGAGAAATGGAGTTCGAGGATGATGGTGAAAGATCATTATGTCATCATGGTTGAGCCTGGCAATGAATATCTCACACATGTGACTCCCAAGACTGGACACGGAAAGCAGATTGCCAAAACTATTCACGAGTTTCTGGTGGAGAAAAATCTAACCCAGCAGCCCATTGTGTGTGTTGGTTGTGATAGACCAATGTAAATGTAGGATCAGAAAATTGAGTCATTCATCATCATGAAATGTTACTTGGTCACCCGCTCCATTATTTCATATGTCAGCTTCACGGAAATGAGCTGCCTTTCCGCGCAGTTTTTTATCACTACGATGGTAAACCAAGTGGTCCTGAGCATTGGCGTGGTCCCATTGTAAAGCAGATCAAGGAGTCTTTGTCTGAGCTTCCAGTTGTCGCCTTCCAGCCAGTCAGTTTCCCTGATTTCCCTGTGTTTAATGATGAAGTGGAGAAAGATCTGTCCTGGGATCAGAAATACCTGTATAGGATTTGTAAAGGAGTTATCACAGGTGTTGTTGAAGATGACTTGGCTGCTATTGAGCCAGGTCCTCCCTGTGTGTCAAGGTGGAACACCTTATGGAGTAGAATCCTCAGGCTGTATGTAGCAACATCAAGACCCAGCCATGAGTTGAAAAGAATTGTCATTACAATAATAAAGTTCAGTGCTCCAATGTGGTTTTACATCAAGATACACCCTTACGTAACACACGGCTCAAGGAACGTATTCCAGTCCCTGCTATATATGAAACACCTGAATAGTGAGGAGGAGACGATAGTGAAGAAGGCTGTCCAGAGAAATGCATACTTCGCCCACACAGATCAACTTCTTCTTGGTATGTGTGCAGATGAGGACATGACTGTTAGAGAAAAAGCTGTCTCAATGATAAGAAAAATTAGAGAGGAGAATCAGCAAAAGGAAGAATGCACTGGCAGATCTGAAGAGGAGGAGGAAGATTCTGATGCTGCTGTTGACGAGAATTTGTTAAACTATACTGATGAGGAGGGTAAAGATGGAGATGGGAATGAGGATGTGCCTCCTGTAGTCAACATGAGAAAGGTGGTGACTCCGAAACTAAAGTGGCAAGCAAAAAACTATCATTCCATGATTAACTGGAGGAATGAACTCAAGACTGAGCCTCCTTACATTGCTTCTCTGTCAAATCTACAGGTTAATGACATTCTTGAGACACCATTAGTGGTGCCCAAGTGGCCAAACAGCACTCAGGCGGTCGAGAGAGGCATAAAAGTGATGACTGAAGCTTGCACTGAAGTGACGGGATACGAATCGAGAGATGGATATATTAGGCAAAGATTATTGTCTAGGAAAATGATGCCAAGGTTCCGCACAAAAAAGAATTTCAATATGAACTTGTAATGATTTTCTATACGGTGTACCTGTAAAATAACATGTGAATTAAATCGATGTCACCCGTGTAAAATTTCTCATTATCCTGGAAAACATTAAATGACACCTAATTTTTGGTATACACTAAAAGTTGACAAAAAGTCGTTCGCGATGCGGCAGGGTAAGTATGCATGAAATGGCATGAAATTTTGCACAGGTGTTTGTTACAGCCATACAAACGATGCCTGAAAAGTGCAGCCTGCAACTCAAATAAAAGTGTTTTTTCCCTGCCTAATGTACATGGTACCAATGTTGTGAGCCTTACATGCTTACTTTTCTCACACATGGTAGAAAGCCAATACAGTACAATATTTCTTGGATGTATACCATTAAAATGCACAAATAAAAGTTAAATTCACACTGCCTAATAAAAAATTTGTATTGTGTTCTATCAAACATCAATTAATTGTAACTGATATTTAAGAACTGGTATTAATCTACCAGCGTCTTAAATTTTTTTTTATCACGATTTAAATAGCTCTCGGGGTGACATTTTAGGAACATGGTGGGTGTTATTCCAGCCTGAATTTACAGTGATCCTAATTACTAGTGTGATGTCAAGTTCCAAATCCGCACAGGACTTTTTGTGATTCAAGATAATAAATATGTTAATTTGTATCTATATCTCAACTTTCTAGTCTAAGCTGAGGAGTCTGCACTTGAACTGAATATTAACCAAGTGTTTCAAACTTAAGACTTTGAAAGATGTTAAGGTATGTATCCTGGAGACACTCTAAAGTCACACTGTCTATGCACTTGTAATGCAACATTACCTGTTGACAATTGACAGTGTGGCACATAATTCATTGAAACATGCAATCTTACATAAAAGTATATATGCAATACATGTATATATAGATTATCTGTGTTCAGTAAATAAATAAAAAAAGAACACCGTGAATATTCTTAATGTATGGGTAGAAATAGTCCTGCACTGTAAGTTCAAGTGGTAAAAGCAACACGAGTTGCTTAACCCGAGTGTCTTTTGAATACATACTTCAACAAATTAATACTTTGAAAAACCTATCAGTCCAACTGTGCAGCCACTGGAGCAAATTCTCTCATGTGACTAGATAACCTCCCCATACTATTTTGTACAATGTTTGATATTGTGTTGTTTTCACACTTTACAAATATTGACCTCTCAAGAGAACACAGCATAAGTATGTATAAAGAAAAGCTTATGCATACAAACTCAGTTCTGGGGATAGTTAACACTGAAAGACAGACAAAAGTATTAGAAAGGAAAAATTCCTTGTGAAGTTGAATACTGTTCAACTTAACGTAACCGTTCTTTTAATCATTTCTACAAACATAAAATTATCGCTGGAATTCGTTGGGAGCCTTTAATTTCTCATACCACATTTTCAGAATCATTGTTGCGTCTTGTGAGAGGCAATACTAATCACATCATTACAATACAGGACTGAACATTTATAGAGTAACCAGTCTTCATAATGTGCGTACTATGTATTTACCTGCCACTATCTGACACCGAGTTTCTAACCTACAAGTGCACTCGTCAAGTGAAGTCGGGTTTTTTTTGGGAGTAAACCAAAGTATTGTTCCTGGGCACTTTTATAAAATATTTAAGATATGTCCTTACAAAAGTTCAATAAACCCTAAAGTCTTTCTAACTCAACATGTATATGAAAAATAGGATACAGAAAATAATTCATAAATGAAGATATTACATAATGTTGATAGCCTCTCAAAATAGATGATACATAATATTGGGTACAAACTGAACAAATTCCAATGGTTCCCACAGAGCTTCCGACAAGACGAGTCACTGGTGGATACCACCAGTAATCAGTTAATAGGTAAAGTTGTCACATCGCCACCAGATCGTTTTGATAACCATATCCTGTGAAAGAATATGAAGGTTAATAGTGTATCATAAAAAGAATTGTAACCGCTCTTAAATGACAAGCATCAGTGGATCCTTATATCTGAAAACAGTGCGCAGGGGGTACCCAACTTACGAACACCCGCCGATATGAACGTTGTAAAACTATAAATTTACATTATTTTATTTACCAGAGGACTTAATTTTTTAATTTCATATACAGGGTATACTGAATTTTGTCCTTCTATTTCTTCTTTTGTCTTAAATTAAGTGATTTTAGATGTATATGTGGACTTAGGCTATGATATAGTGGGATTTTAAACATTGTTCTGAAAGCACAGTATGCACATAGCATGTGTTTCAACTTATGTACAATTTAGACTTAAGAATGTACTGAGGAACGGAACCCGTTCGTAACCCAGGGACCCCCTGTACTGCACGTGGAAAACTATCATGCTTTTATCACAGTAAAACATTAACGAGACTACAATTATCTGAAATACCTTAAACATTAATAACCAATTTTAGGAAAATAGAAAAACCAGTGAAGGCACCAAAAGTGGTCAAGTTTTCAGAAAGATATTATGTATTCATATACTGTACTGTACTGGGCTCTTAGTGACCGTAACATTGATCGGATCTCTCCCCATATCTTGAGACTACGGTGACTGTACGATAATGGTACAGTAATAGGCGATTCACTAAAGGTTCTCATGAACTGCAAGTAAGCTACCACTAGATGGGGTTGGGGTGTATTTGTTTTGTTTCCTCGCCAGACCAATCACTATGCTCGGAACAAACACTGTGTAGGAATATTAACCAATCACAAGTTACCCATGCCAGCAGATGATGCATAAGTATTACGTGATAAGAACAATGAAGGGACAATAGCTTTAAAGAAAAGGTGGCTGAATTTCTCTAATTACTCTGTATATTAATAAAAAGTAATAATAATAATAAAAATAATAATAATAATAATAATAATAATACAGGTTGTACCACTCTAGTCCGGCAACCTCGGGACCTGACCGGTGCCGGACCATGGAAATTCACCCTTTTCCTGGATAGATAGTGACTTGTGCTTATGCCTGGAAGCACTAACACCACTTTCTCTGCATCATGGTCTCTTTGAAGACATATTGAAGGGTTAAATGTCGTATAATAGCTTCTCAAATTTCGCGAGTTTTTAATTCTTAACGTATTTTATTGGAACACACAAAAAAATAAATAAATAAAAATTTTGACGGCGGAAACTTGAATTTCGACGGGTTTGAACGGCCCGCCAACGTGCAGACGACGTGCATAATCGTGTAAACAGCGTCATTTCTCTTATGTACAAAAGATTCATTATTGTTTATTACTGAATGTCTTTTTTATTGAATTTATGTTTATGTGTGCAAAATGAGCAATACAATTCATTAATAATACGTAGAATATTAAAACACACGAGGAAATAACACAGCATTGTTTTCGTTGATTACAAAACCAGTGACTGACTGGTTCTACATATAAAACTGAAGAAAATAAGACCTTGGTTGTAGCTGTAGTAAAATTAGTATGGTTGTTTTAAGTAATGTTATTTAATGTTAATAAATGGAACAATAGAAGTAGCTAACGATAATGGTAAAGAAAAAAGAGAGATCGCATATGTAAGTGCGCATGCGCACACGTGAAAACATATCGTCATTACTTTACACAAGAATATGAAAGCAACACTTATTTACTGTTCATATATATTTTAATTAATGTTTCTGAATTTGTTTTTATTGAATTAATGTACGTGTGCAAAATTAACAATACAATTTATTAATAATACGTGGAATATTAGAGTAGACGAGACGGCTGCTGGCATTGTTTATGTTAAAGCTTACAAAACCAGTGACTCATTGGTTCTACATATAAAACTGAAGAAAATAAGACCCTGAGCTTAGCTGTAGTAAAATTAATGTAAAAAATGAATATGGTTGCTTGAAGAACCTGTAATGTTATTTAATGTTAATAAATGGAACAATATAAGTAGCTAACCATTAATGGTAAAAAAAAAAGTGAGACTGCTCGTATGTAAGTGCGCACATGTGAAAATATATCGTCATTACTCTACATAAGAATATGAAAGCAACACTTATTTACTGCTCATATATATTGAAGGGTTAAATGTTGTACTCTGTATAGACAAGCAGAGAGAGAGAGAGAGAGCAGCCGAACTGCCGGATGTAAACAAACCTTAATTTCCCGCGGCTTTTTTTTAAGGGGATTAGCCCACCCGGGCATAGGTCACTGACCCACATTGGGGCCTGAGGGGCAAAAATTTAATACTCCTGTAATAATAATAATAATTCAGATAAGTAAAAAAAAAAAAAAAAAAAAAAAAAAAAAAAAAAAAAAAAAAAAAAAAAAAAAAAAGCTGCCTATCTACCTATTGCACAAACTAAAATCGTTCCGGACCACGGGAGTTTCCGGACAACAGAATGCCGGACTAGAGAGATACAACCTGTAATAATAATAATCTTACTTTGGAGCAAATGCACTTTATAATTCTTGACAGTTGATTTTCTTAAGCTAGTAACATCAGCTACACTCTGGAAACTACCACTTGCGAACAACATTAAAGATACTGTATTAACACAGACGTATCTAGCCATAGTATATCCCTACGAAGCAGTAGGTGGTCAACAATTTGTAGAGGGTCCAAAGGATCAAGATAAGTTTAGTTACAGTCACCGTAAACTATAAGCGAATCGCCCGTTAGACCTAAGGTTCATAGTAGGGACTTACAGTGACCATAAGTCATAAATGAATCTGTCCCCCGTACAAAGTTTGTATGGTAATGTAAACTACAGTAAAAAATAATTTTTCTTCTATAAGGTTACATCTTCACTACACAACTTAACCACCCATCGACTTCCAAAAGGGACCATAAAGTTGGTGGGATCTAGGTCTTTATTCAGGCTTGGTTATAAAGATTATTTATGCCAGTCTAGAATAACATATGAATACTGAAGCCAGGTGAGGATGGAAAAAAGCTTCAAATGATGCGATAATACCTCATGAGGAGAGTCTACCCTGGGATTTACCAATGCTGCAAAATGAAAGCCTATCTTCCATGATTTGGTACCTCCATGGTAATACCTAGGTCATCTAAAGCATAAGCCACAGCTCGAACATTTAGTGGCCTCAGGAAAAGGGGGGGCAACAAACCTCCCCAGTCAGAAGTTTACAGGACCCAAAAATAATTGAACCACATACCAGTTAGAAAAAAATAGCAACTGTGAAATCATGGAGACTACACACCAACACCAAAACTACAAAATCCACATATGAAATTTGGAAAACTGAGGGCAAGGGCAGGAGACCACATCTCCACATACCTTCAAACTTGAGAAAAAAGAAGCAGGGGAATTGAACAGAGCTCAAGGAGGAAGGAAACCAAATCCTGCTAGGCCATAAAGGAGCATTCATTGAAGTAATCCCTCTAAACTGCCTGAGTTGAGAGATCACCTGAAGCATCCTAGAAAGAGGATGGAACATAAATCTGATCCCAATTGTTTCAATCCCAGAATGGACAACACAAAGGCAAGGCAGAGATTAACATTGCAGAATAGTTCAAATTTGGAAAAACTCGTGCCGATACAATCCATGAAAAGTTAGTGATCCATCATCCATATCAATAACATTTGCTTAATCCTTGACATTGAAAGTCCCACTGATGCGCATGATTGCAATGGAACTGAAGAACATCGATACAAAAAAAAAAAAAAAACACAACTACCGAGATGTCCCAAAGAGAAAAAGAGCCTAGAGATTTTTCCTGATATAAACCATCGCACTGAAGCTTATACTTGATGCAACTTATAAAAAAAAAACCCACATTTTGTCCAACCTCTGTGAATACCATAGTAAGTTGATAATAAAGTGAATGTGGGAATTAAACCCACATTAAAAAACTTTTCTAACTGTATCAAAACAATAGTTTTGATGTCATCCTCTTTACTTGTGTGTATTACACAGAGTAGGTGAAGCCACAAAGAACAAACATACATAAACACTGAGGAGAGCACCACGAGTTTGCATTAATGGATCTAGCATAAAAGTAGTTTCACTTACAATTAAATAGTACTTATACAATATGTACTATATTCCGGTTTGAAAGTCTATTTCAAAATCTTACATTTCTTAATATCATCACATCTGGAATAAGTTCCCTTTTATACAATAAGGGACAAAAAGATTAAAAAAGGCCTTACAACTGAAGCATATTTTGCTTCCTATGCTGTTTTGTTCTTTATTTTTACATAAAAATGTTTTACTGTAGCCCATAAATATCTGGTTTCATTTCAATCCAGTGGAACTTTGATAATCCAACAATACAGTACATCTTCCCAAATCCTTCAAATACTGTACTTACAATTTCAAAATGCCTGTACTGTATTCCCATAATTTCTAACAAAAGCGGGTTTGAGTGAGTTACCTCAGAGGGTACTACTCAATCAAGTATTCAAACCTGGAGCTGGCAGATGCCCACCCCACTAGGGGTCACAGCTTAAGGTTCACAAACTGACAAGATAAACATTTTTGCAGTGAGGGCTTGTGAGGTGTCGTCTCTTGTCTCTCAAACAATGTACAGTATGTTGATATTTGGGCTTCCATTTGTTGAGCAACAGAAATTGGACAGAAAATTCATAAGGTCATCAAAGACATTCTGATGCAGTGAATGTGTCAATCGCTGTAGCACTTTTTTTTTGCTAATTCTCAACTGAAGATCAAATAATTTCTTCTTGCTGGAGTACTATAGGCCCACACTGTGCAGATACAACCACAAAATAAAACCATGCCAACATAGTTTTATGTTGGGACACTCCTGCTTGAAGCAATGCTGGATGTTTGGACACATCCTGACGAGTGGTGGCAATATTGACAATATAATTTGGACTTTGCTAAGGCTTAAGACAGCATACCTCATGAAAGGCTGAAAATTAAAATGGAAGGGAAATTTAGAGACTTTCTTAATGACCATGATAAGCAGGGTACCACAGGTCAGTGTACTGAGGCTGTTGTTTGTCAGAATCTATACACTCCTCCATACAAATGTTCACAGACAAAACCAAGTTATTCAAGGAAATTAAATACCAAACAGACTGTGAAGATTTACAGAAAGATCTCTGTCAGCTTCAGGAGTAGTCAAAGGAATAGCTGTTTGGATTCAATATCACAAAATCTAAGAAGATACACCAAGGTCGTATCAACAGTAAGGAGGTTTATTACATGTTCAAACGGGAAGGAGAAACATATTATCAGAGACTAAAATGTGAAAAGGACCCGAATTTGTATGTTGACAATGAACTGAAATTCTTGGACCAAGGTAAGGTGGTGAATTAAGCAACTAAGCTAGTATGTCTTAAAAGAAGGGTACTGTATTTAGATATCTAGACGATCTGTCCCTCATATCACTCTTCAACAGTGAGGTGCTTCCCCGTTTGAAGTATTGGCACCTCGTCTGGTACCCCACTGGTCAACATAAAAAAAAAATTCTCATGGTTCTGGATCAAAACAGTCTGATTCTAGTGTAATTGTATGTGCTGAACTCAATTATGACATTCGTATAGCTGTATCAGGCTCAGTTTTCCAGAACCAGCATATCTATATATTTAGTGTACCATGCTATTCATACAGTAATTTATATGCTCATTGGCTCCACTTATGCAATTATTTTGTCCTGATTTGTGCTTTTTTGTTTGTTTCAGTTTGCTGATTCATGATATTGCATATCTACACCTGCATGATTTGTAATTACTCTGAAATTAACAAAACATGGAACGTCGCAAGTGTGTGAACGGTGCTGACAGTTTTTGCTACATATGTGGTGCCTTCACTCCTGGTAGCCTCAAGAAACCAATCACAAAAGCTGTTCGACTGAACTACAAAAGTTACTTCAAATGTCATTTGGGTGACCAAGACATGAAATGGGCACCTCATGTAGCCTGTAAGTCTTGTGTTAACCACCTGAGCGAGTGGATGTGTGGTAAACGAAGTTCAGGAATGCCGTTTGCTGTACCAATGATATGGCGTGAACCTAAAGACCACAGTAGTGACTGCTACTTCTGTCTCACAAATATTAAGGGAATAAAAATCAAGACACGAGGCAAGGTACAGTACCCCAATATTGCTTCTGCATCCGACCAGTACCGCACAGTGCTGAACTTCCAGTCCCAAATCCACCGACTGAACAAGAATTGAGTGATTCCGATTCTACCTCTACCTCAATGGAAAACGACTACCAGGATGACTCTGAAAATACCAGGCCTAAACTATTTACTCAAAAAGCGCTTCATGATCTCATCAGGGTCCTAAACTTGTCAAAAGAAAAGGCTGAAGTTTTGAGATCCAGACTAAAGCAGCGTAACCTGCTAGAAGATGGAGTGCACATCACTACAGCGCGTTACCGACATAGACAGCTGTCTGCATTTTTCAAGATGGCAAACAACCTTTGTTATTGCGAGGACGCAGTATCTCTCATGCAACAACTCTGCAAGTCTGAAACATACAAGACAGAGGATTGGAGGCTGTTTATAGACTCAGGAAAAGACTCTCTGAAAGCTGTTCTCTTACACAATGGCAATTGGCTTCCATCTGTCCCAATAGCACACGCAACAAAAATGACTGAGAGCTATGAAACAATGAAAATTCTGTTGGAGGCTATAGAGTATGAGAAACACCAGTGGAAGATATGTGGCGATCTCAAAGTCATCAGTTTACTACTGGGCCTTCAGAGTGGCTACACAAAGCACATGTGCTTTTTGTGCTTGTGGAACAGCAGAGCTGATGCAGAGCACTATGTGAGAAAGGATTGGCCATCAAGACCAAGAGATGCGCCTGGAAGGTTTAACTGTGCTCACAATCTGCTTGTAGATCCAGAAAAGATATTTTTGCCTCCACTGCATCTAAAGCTCGGTTTGGCTAAAAATTTCATCAAAGCTATGGATCAATTCGGTGCTGGGACTCTATACTTATCTCAGAAACTAGGTGGTGTGGTTTCCGAAGCCAAGTTGAAAGCAGGTGTCTTGAATGGACCACAAATTCGTATACTAGTTAATGATAGCGAATTCACCAAAACATTGAACCCACTGGAGAAAAAAGCATGGGAATCATTTGTCAATGTGTCAAAGATTTTTCTTGGAAACTATCGTGCTGACAACTACAGTGGGGTATGCTATAACGAATCTAATTGGTTCTAGAACCTTGTTCGTTATAGCATTCGTTCGTTATAGGATTAATCCGTTTCAGGCCCCCAAATACAACCACTTAACACTGAAAAATATAATATAAAATTGTAAAAATTGTAAAAAAGTGCATAAATATGCATCTAAACCCCTGAAATAAAGAATATCATTAATACTTGTAATAAAAAACAATAAATTAGAAAAAAAAAAAAAAAAAAATTTAAATAATGTTCGTTGTAGGAGTTTCGTTCGTTATAGCATTCTCAATTTTATAGGTAAAACCGTTCGTTATAGCATACCCCACTGTACAAAGAAATCGTAACAACCATGCTTCAGAATTATCATGCATTGGGAGCAAGGATGTCCTTGAAATTGCATTTTTTCCACTCTCATATTGAATTTTTCCCAGGTAACCTTGGAGATGTTAGTGATGAACACGGCGAAAGATTTCATCAAGATATCGCCATAATGGAGAGCAGATATCAGGGACAATTCAGTCCTAACATGATGGGCGACTATTGCTGGACACTGCAACGAGAAGAGAGCAAGCTGTACAAGAGAAAGAGTAAAGTTCAGAAGCACTTTTAGAACTTCATATTTTGTCATTATAAAGGATTTGAACTTATGTTTTTTGGTACAATTTTTTATGAGGTTATCTGTGATAGGTTTAAAATTGTATCTTGCATGATGCGATAATGTTACTATATTTACTATTTTTTTATTCTTTAAGAAAGTAGGTCTGATGGTAGAATGAAACATCCAATTAATATTCATTAATATGAAATTAGTCATGAAAGCACAGTCACATGAGATAATCTCATCTTTTGCACGACATGTGATGGAATATTAAATATTGGTACCTATTGATTTTTTTATAAAACCTGGTCTGATAGAACAAAACAAATATCAGATTCGAATTCAGCAATTTGAAATTAGTTGTGTGAGCATGATCTCATATGTGAACCATTTTGGCTGTTGACCAGTGACCCGAGATATGTTAAGAGACTGTCAGTTGATTGAAATGTCCAAAGGAGGGCCAACAGGCTGGTACCTGTACTACAGCACTTGATAGAAGTTTATCAACATCTCGTAAGCTATTACAGTACTCAGTTGAGTGATCATGCTTGGAGCAGGCGGACGCTCACCCTACTAGGGTTAGAGATTAAGGTTGAAGCCACAAGTTCGGAAAACTGTCAGGGCAAATTTGGGAGCGATAATTGTAAACTCCTGGAAGAATCTACCAAAGAGCATTGTGGCAGCACTGAGTGTGATCTCATTCCTTTTTAGACTTGATTAACACTGGTGCAGGTAGAGGTACAGTACATTATGGAGCCAGTACATGCCCAAAACTTGCCAACAGTGCATAACAATTTGACCTATCACACAAGAAGCTAACATAACCATAAGAGGCAAAGAGGATAAAGTAAAGAAATTATATGAGTATGGTGTAATGTGACCCTGAGAGATATAGATCCGGGGGGGGATGCATCCCCCTTTACAATTATGTTGGAGAACTTCCTAAACATATACAGTAGTTCCTTCCCCTACTATTCATGTAATTCAGAAGCAAAAATTTAAAACCTCTCAAATTTTAACTTTTGTAAATTAAAGTTTTATAATTTTTGCCTTGAAGTTTAAGAATAATTTTGAGTGAGAGAGTAATCTAAGGCAGAGGTACTCAATTGGTGGACAGCATTGGTTAGCTTTGATGTGAACCCCAATCCAAATGGAACTGATTGATCTCCAAGACGATGTCTCAAGCTTGTTCCCCTCATCTTCACAAAGTCACATTGCATATCGGCACAATGTTTGGCTCCACTTACCAGTGTGAGTCTGCCTTCCTTCTCGACATGAATTTAGTGGAGAACAAATGCCGTTTCAGCATCACCAATGAACACCAACACCTTCATCATTGTCTTAGACTAGCTATAACATCATTTGTACCAAAGTTCAGGGAATTGGCAAGAAGCAGAAAGTGTCACTTTTCACACTAATGATGATTATTCACTCAATTAAGGTGCACAGTCACAATTACATGTACACTCAGGGTCAAAACTAATCATCCCCCTTTTCCTATTCAACAAAGAGTGATGGATAATTACTTTTGAATCAGACTACATTTTATAATTGCAACATTATTTTTTGTGTGTGTTACAGAGATTTTGTTTATTTCTTTTAATTCATCATTCCTCCTTTTTACAACAAGAGTAGAATGTATGATAACTTTTGACCAAAAAAATATATACATTACCCTCAGTGTTTTATTGTGTCCAGATAATTAGTAATTTTCCTTGTGTTAACCCCCCCCCCTCCCTCCCAGATTGCCGGAACTAATTAAGGAAGGCATCAAAGAACTAATTGGGGGTTGGGAGATAAAATACTGCCGATACAAACAAACTCACTATTTAATTGTTTAAGGATCTCATTGCAAATCATTAAATCACCATTGGTGCACAGACATACCTTCACAATCCATAAGTTTCCATTGTACCCAAAACTGCACATCTTTGAATCCAAGGTTCAACTTACCCAATGCCAGTGCCAAGAAGGAGAGATAAAACATTGGTGATAAGGAGGGTGTAGAGGACATCCCGGGAGAAGAGAGAGGAATTACCCACCATCACATGGCGGATACTAGCACCACGGCTCACACCCTTGCGAGGATGACTAAACCGCCATTCCCTAGAAATGAAAAAAAAAAAAATTATTAGAGAAATAATAATAGAATGCTTCATGAGACTAGTTCATTCTCTCATTAAAAAAATCAATAATAATTATTAAAAAGTTATCTGATAAAGACTTATCCCATCAGCCATGTTTACCCAGTTAACTGTGAGACAAAACTCCAACCAGGCACAAAAGTGTGGGTAATACAGGAAATATATTTCCTGCTTAACTCCGTTTTTTCTCTCCCTCTTGATTACATTTTCTACCTTTCACAGGTGGTTTGTCCATCAGGACCCTTGGTGGTTGCATAGGCGGTGAAGAGACCCTCCTCTACCGGGTACACATTCCATTCCTGGGTTACTGGTGTCCAGTTGACAGTGCCCTCTGCAGGCACACAGGGAGCACGAATCTCCTGTGAGGGCCAAGGGGCCCTAGACTGAGGTGTTTGTTATACCAGAGCAGCCTGTGCATTTCACTGGAATTAACAAAGGTAGGAGGCCGGTTGATTGACTCCAGTACCTCACTTTGATGGGGGAGTATAATCTCCGACCAAACGGACTCCACGGGACTGGCCAACCCTGTGGCCACAGGAGTAGAACTAGTTGGGTGATGGGGTGCAAGTAACTGTGTATGATGCACAGCTTCCCTGAGCTCGTCTATATCCATCCGCAACATTTTCAGGTTGCCCCATTTCCTCCATGAGGCTTCTGACAGTGTCCAGTATTTGGTCACTTTCTGAGGGGGAAATCCCGAGAGAAGAAGCTCTCACGCGCTGAAGCTTGGGAGTTCGACGTGGAGACGCTTCCTTCGGCATTGTCGAGGAAGAGGCAATGGAGAAGCAGACCATCTATCCCGGGACCATTGACCGACCTGGGTGGTGACGATGTGGTAGCTGAAGGTGGCATGGCGCCTCAACATGCCGTTGTGAGAAGTCATCGGCAGAGCCATCGTTTTCTTGGTCTTGAGGTTTCTGCATGAGGAGGGACAGGCACAGTATAGGAACTTTCCTTCCTAAGTGAGGTGCTTTGAATTTGGAAGTGGGCTTAGCAACCAATCTCCACCTGTCTTTAAATATAACCTACTCCTTCCTGGTTTTGTCTACCAGAGAACTTTGTGAGACATAACTCCAACCGTGCAAACTGTGCAGGCGAGGGGGGTCAACCCCCCCACCCCGACTAGGGGGGTGGGCAGTACAGTAATTATGACCGTCGGGGTGGAAGCAGCTGCAACATCCTTGCGCCTCGCACTTAATTGAATGAATCCTGTGGGTGTCTTTGATCATTTGAGGAGAGGAGTACTGCAGGTTGTAGGAAGAGCCCGACAAAACACCTTGGCCACCCGAGACTGATCCTAGCGACTTGCCATGGCTTGTAGTTGTGAGTGGATCGCACACATCAATGGTAACCTTCATGACAGAGGTAAACAATATCCAGCTAATGAGGTAACAATCATTCACTAAGGGAGAATGAAAGGTGTTCTAGATTATTGTGCCACCACCAAGAGAGGGGGTGGTGCTAGAAAACACAAAAAAACAATGGGCAAACTGGGGGTGTGTGTGTGTGCATGACTCCTCATAACATAACGTCCACAAAAGAGGATAGACATGAAATGGCTTCACGCCAACTGTTCTTGGGTGCATGGCACAGCCTGATACTAAATCAATGAGAAAGCAGTGCCAGGAGGCAACCTGTGGGTGTGTGACTTTACAGAGCACATCACAGTCTACCAGAAGGCCAGACAGGAGTAGCGCCAGAATACCCAAAAAGGTAAACAAATCATAAACCATTGAGAAAACCCGACTGTGGTTAGCGTAAAGAGTAAACCAAACACATTGTATGCCAGGGAAAGGTGGGAATACATGTACCACACTGCCAATAGTTACCTGGAATCACATGGTAATAGTGAGAAGGAAACATCCATACCCTATGATTAGAAACGACAGGTGGGTGAAAACTGAGACAGAGCGAAAGAGTGGCTTCCAGATGTGATGTAGACACACCATAGAAAATTGCAGAGGTATTAGGAGTGACTGCTGCAACGACTTCAAGGTTTATGGAAAATTTGCAAAAATTGCTTCTAGTAAGAAGACTTTGGATTCCCGGTCAGGTCACCCCTGTAGAAGGGGGACTAGAGAGGGTTCTCGAGCACTCGTACACTAGGGAGGCATAGTAAAATAAAATATAGGTGGTAAAAGAAACCAAGGAGACAGCAGGAGCTGTTTATTGCTCTACTGTTTCAATTGTACAAGGTCTTCAGAGCAATAAACAGCTCCTGTTGTCTCCTTGGTTTCTTTTACCACCTACATTCTAATTTGTCTTAAAACACTCAATACTATACAGTGGTCTCTCAATTAACACAATTGGTTCCACAGAGTCGGTTGTTAACTGAAAATTTCATTAACTGAATCTATTATTTCAATGGGATATTGGGTACCGTATTTTTCGGCTTGGAAGACGCTGCATCGTGGAAGACGCACCATGATTTTTTAAATAAATTTTTATTTTTATTTATTTATTTTATTACGGGGAATAGCCCACCTGGGCACAGGTCACTGACCCACATCAGGGCCTGGGGGGCAAAAATATTATTATTATTATAATAATAATAATAATAATAATAATAATAATAATAATAATAATAATAATAATAATAATAATAAAGAACCATAAAGAAAAAAAAAATAAAAAAAAAACCCAAGAGTGAGAAACAATATACGAGTGGTAAAGTTCAAAACATAAGGACAGCCAAAGTTGTTGTGTGTGTTTTTACTTGGATGACGAGGTTGCCAAGTCATCAGGTTCAACTCTAGCTGAATACATAGAATATAAAAAAATTTTCTGTGATGTTTTTAGTTTTTATTTAACTTTATCTGTGTTATTTTTGTTGGTTTATTAGGATGTTGCTTTATTACAGGTAGTAATTCGTCCAAAAAGTAGGGTAAATAAGGCAAAATTTAGCCAAACATCGAAAGTACCAGACTCAAATTAATTTTCTCCATAGGAAGTTGTATTTAAATTTGGAAGATTTTAATTTTGAGAGGGTCTTACAGTCTAAATGGGTGTCCAAATATGAGAGCCTACTGTAAATAGGTGTCCAAATATGAGAGCCTACGTATAAAGAAACAAACATTCCTGCACTTTGAGACCAGCAGACAACATTTAGCAATTCCTCAATAGATGGCGCTGCCGCACCACTGCCATTAGTAAGCAAACCACACAGCAGCAAGGGTTTACTTTTATTTTATTTTTTTGCAATACTGTATATCAACAATATTAGTTAAATCAATAGTACTGTATAGAGAATACTTGTAATTGTTAAGTACTGTAATGAGGTAACACTCTTTGTAAGGGGCTGATTTCAGTTAACCCTAAGAAAACCTGGAAGATGCATGGCAATTTTCAAGGTATATTTTTGTCATAAAAAGTGTCTTTCAAGCCGAAAAGTACGGTAATACGTTTCTGTGAGTTGGAACCAATTACCCAATATCCCATTATATATACAGTATAGTCTTGATTTACGCGGTCAATTGAATCCGTGGAGGTCTGCGTAAAACGAGAAACGCATAAACGAAATAACAGAACATATGGGATTAATTGAAATAAAGACTGGGCCGACTCCCAAACTCCACTTTTTCCGACACAATACGTACCTTGTAGTAAAAATAACATCATAATTTTATGATGGTATTGACACACACATAATATCTAAATAAAAAGCTACACTACTGTACAAATATAAAGATGCTTAACACTTACGTTAGTAGAAGAGATGGGTCGGCATACGGGGATGGCGGCTGGTTCCAAGGCAGAGGGCAGATTAGTGGCCCTCCGGTGAATCACTATCATTATTCACAGAGGTTTGCAGGGCCTCCCTAACAAACCCCTCAAAGTCCATATCCTCACTGTCACTATCACTGACTTGGGCTGGCTGTGGTTGTGGTGAGATGCGGGCGAAGATGTCCATAATACTATGTTGACGACTAGAATTGCTGTTGTTGTCATACATCTGGACATACGGCTCCATAAATTTTGATAGAAGGTTATTAGACACTTCATACCGATGCTTGACTGTGTCTTTGTCAAGGATGAGCTTGATTTTCTCTGCCAACTCGATGACTTCCTTCACATAACTATGGCTTGGTTCAGGTTCAAGGTTTTTCTGGGGTGGTGAGGGTCCAGCGGAAGCCATTGTGAGGGGAATAGCGGGCACAAGAGAGAACTGTACACACGGATACTGAGAACAATGAGACAGGCTCGGCTAGGTCAGCAACTTCTTCCCTCTGGTGACAGGGCACGTCATGTTACATTAGACCAATCACAGCTAGCGGCGGAGGGCAGTAAGGATGCGTGGTCCACTCAGTCCGATACGTCATATGACGTCAGCGATAACCTAAGAGCGATCTAATGTGCACCCTCCCCACGCCGCTTTCCGCGTAAATGATGGAATGAACCGCGTAACTCAAAATTGTTATTTTGGCAAGGTGCCGCGTAAATGAACAAACGCGTAAACAAAATCCGCGCACGCACGCGCACACACACACAGTATAGTCTAGATTTACACGGATTTTGTTTACGCGTTTGATCATTTACGCGGTGCCTTGCCAAAATGAAATGTTTGAATTACGCGGAAAATTTCATCATTTACGCGGCGAGCAGCTGGAGAGGTCCAGACGCGCCGCGCCATTTTTTACTCACGCTGTCCATTCTTGACCATACGCGGGAAGCGGCGCATTGAGGGGTGCGCATTAGGTCGCTCTTACGTTATAACTGACATCACATGACGTATCGGACTGTGATTGGGTCACTTATCCTTACCTCCCTCCGCCGCTAGCTGTGATTGGTTTAATGTAACATGACGTGCCCTGCCACCATAGGGAAGGAGTCGCTGACCTAGCCGGGCCACTCTCATTGTTCTCAGTTCTCTGCATATACAGTTCTCTCTTGTGCCCGCTATTCCCCTCACAATGGCTTCCGCTGGACCCACACCACCCCAGAAAAACCTTGAACCTGGACCAAGCCATGGTTATGTGTGTGAAGGAAGTCATCGAGTTGGGGGAGAAAATCAAGCTCACCTTGACAAGGATACAGTCAAGCATCGGCATAAAGTGTCTAATAACTTTCTGTCGAAAATTATGGAGCCGTATGTCCAGATGTATCACGACAACATCAATGCTAGTCTCGACCGCAACCCACCACAACCACAGCCAGCCCAAGTCAGTGATAGTGACAGTGAGGATATGGACTTTGAGGAGTTTGTCAGGGAGGCCCTGCAAACCTTTGTAAATAGTGATAGTGATTCACCGGAGGGCAACTAATCTGCCCTCTGCCTTGGAACCAGCCCCCATTCCCGTATGCCGACTCATCTCTTCTACTAACGTAAGTGTTAAGCATCTTTAATTGTACAGTAGTGCAGTTTTTTATTTAGATATTATGTGTGTGTCAATACCATCATAAAATTATGATGATATTTTTAAGGCAAGGTACGTATTGTGTCGGAAAAAGTGGAGTTTGGGAGTCGGCCCAGTCTCTATTTCAATTAATCCCATACGTTCTGTTATTTCGTTTACGCGTTTCTTGTTTTAAACGGACCTCCACGGGTTTAATTGACCATGTAAACCAAGACTATACTCTGTGTGTGTGTATATATATATATATATATATATATATATATATATATATATATATATATATATATAGTGACCCCTCGTTTAACGAACGCCTCGGTTAACGAAATTTCGGTTAACGAACTGCCTTCCATAAGGATCTTCAATTCGGTTAACAAACAAAAATTCGGTTAACGAATTTCTTACGAACCGACCTCAACATGTTTTCGCTTGCACTGGCCGGGCAACCAGCTTTAGTATCAGTCCGCCAATACATTAATCGGTTCTAGGACTTGAATTCCTTATTATTTTAGTAAATATCAAGAAATTTATACGATTCAATAATTTTAAAAGTTTAATATTAAATTTTTTAGTCATTTGAACAATTATTGAACATAATTGAAGGTAAAGTGACTAGTTTAATGCGCGGCATCCAGCCTCTTAACACAGCAAACAGGCATTAGTCTCTCTCTGTTTTCACTGGAGATAACATCTTGCTTGAGACTCTCTTCAACTAAACGCTTTTTTTCTGTGTTTCCAAGCAAATTATTGGTCATTTTGAAATATATTTTACAAATTGACAATATATAATGCAGTGCAGTGTAGATTTAAAGAAAATAATCTTGAAATACACCAAGAGAACTAAAATTTTATGGGTGAAATGGTGCCGTGGGGTGACTTCTCTTCCACCCCAATGCCTTCTCTTCTTCCTTCTCCTTCACCCCCATTCTAATTCCCATCATCATCATCATCCAGGAGCCTTCTACATACACACCTCAAAGTAAGTGAACTTTTCTACCATTTTTGTTGAATTTAGGAAATTTTCGGTGAGCTGGAACCAATTGCCCAAAAACCCATTGAAACAATGGTTTCGGTTAACGAACTTTTCGGTTAACGAACGACCTTCTGGAACGGATTGAGTTCAACCGAGCCATATATATATATATATACACACACACACACACACACACACACACACACACACACACACACACACACACACACACACACACACACACACACACACACACACACACACACACACACACACACACACACACACACACACACACACACACACACACACACACACACACACACACACACACACACACACACACACACACACACACACACACACACACACACACACACACACACACACACACACACACACACACACACACACACACACACACACACACACACACACACACACACACACACACACACACACACACACACACACACACACACACACACACACACACACACACACACACACACACACACACACACACACACACACACACACACACACACACACACACACACACACACACACACACACACACACACACACACACACACACACACACACACACACACACACACACACACACACACACACACACACACACACACACACACACACACACACACACACACACACACACACACACACACACACACACACACACACACACACACACACACACACACACACACACACACACACACACACACACACACACACACACACACACACACACACACACACACACACACACACACACACACACACACACACACACACACACACACACACACACACACACACACACACACACACACACACACACACACACACACACACACACACACACACACACACACACACACACACACACACACACACACACACACACACACACACACACACACACACACACACACACACACACACACACACACACACACACACACACACACACACACACACACACACACACACACACACACACACACACACACACACACACACACACACACACACACACACACACACACACACACACACACACACACACACACACACACACACACACACACACACACACACACACACACACACACACACACACACACACACACACACACACACACACACACACACACACACACACACACACACACACACACACACACACACACACACACACACACACACACACACACACACACACACACACACACACACACACACACACACACACACACACACACACACACACACACACACACACACACACACACACACACACACACACACACACACACACACACACACACACACACACACACACACACACACACACACACACACACACACACACACACACACACACACACACACACACACACACACACACACACACACACACACACACATTTATCAATATTATATATATATATATGTAACAGGTCGGAATTACTGACTTAATTTCTCACTTGACTTGGGGTTTATAAAGATTATTAGATGGTAATTGCAGGAAGTTTCTTTTAAGAGAGAACCTTAACCAGCATGTAAGAACACTTATTAAACACAATGAATTGTCCGTGACCTGTGGAAGGATAGCGCTGTGACTGGGATGAATGAGACACACTGTAAAATTTACACTTATATTCCTCCAACACTACAAACACAAGTAATACGTAACTGAACGAAGCATATCAT